TTCTCTTGGTTGTAGCCACTCATATGGATTATGAGATATGATATATGGATGTTAAGACGACTTTCCTTAATGGAAGTCTTCAAGAAGACATCTATATGCAGTAACCAGAAGGTTTTATCGCAAAGGGACATGAAGATCTAGTTTGTAAACTGAATCGGTCCATTTATGAACTGAAGCAGGCTTGAGGTCCTGGAACATCCAGCCAATGAGGTGATCCATTCGATGGGTTTACTCAATGGCCGGATGAGCACTGTGTATATATGAAACATAGTGGGAGCGTGGTGGTGTTTCTTTTGATTTATGTAGACGATATACTTCTAATTGGAAACAATAAAAAGAAATTGCCAGACGTAAAGGTATGGTTGTCCGAGCAATTTGATGTGAAGGACTTAAGAGAAGTAAGACACATTCTTGGTATCAAGGTCGTTCGAGACCGTGAGAAGAGAATGATGTGCTTATCACAGTCTTCATACATGTTCAACATGCAGAATTCCAATCAAGGGTTATTTCCCTTTCACCAAGGAATAACTTTGTCTAAAGAGATGTCTCCCAAGACAACTCAATAGATAGAGGACATGAAGACAGTTCATTATGTTTCGGCAATAGAAAGTCTCATGTATGAAATGTTGTGCACGAGGTCGATATTAGCTATGCCGTTGTCATGGAAGCTAAATATCAAAGTAATACTGATCTGGGGAATCGGTCTGCGGTGAAGATATACTCAAGTACTAGAGAAGGACTAAAGGGTACATATTAGTTTACCGTGCTAACAGCTTGTTTTCACTAGGTTACAGCGATTCTGACTTCCAGTCTGACCGGGACGAGAGTAAGGCAACATCAAGTTATGTGTTTACTTTGGGAGGTGGAGTGATTTCATGAAGAAGTGCTAAGCAAAAATACGTGGCAGACTCCACCAGAAGTCGAGTGTATCGCAACCTTTAAGGCAGCGAATGAGGCAATATGACTCAAAAACTTCTTTGTGGACTTAGAAGTGATTCTGCCACAATGTATCACAATTTACTGTGATAACAGTGGTGCAGTAGCAAACTCAAGGGAACCACGAGCCCACAAGTCGAGTAATCACATAGAGCTCAAGTAGCACCTGATACGAGAGACCGTAGGAAGAGGAGACGTAGAGGTTGCTATGATTGCATCAGAGGACAACCTAGTTGATCCTTTCAAGAAGAGTTTGCCTGAGAAGGTCTACATCAAACACGTGGAAGTAATGGGAGTCAGATGTGTGGCGACAGGGTCATCATAGGTCTTTTAGAATACAGATTGATAGACATACACTTGTAAAATCGAAACATTAAGTATAAGTGGGAGATTGTTGGTGTTTATACTGAAAGCTTGGCTTTGGACATTATTTACACTATTTCTGTTAAGCGAGAATCATGTTTGATTAAACAATTTCTATGTTCTATTGTTTTTTACTTAGATAAAATGGTTCATCGGTGATGGACATAATTATTTTATCCGTCACTTGCAAACAAGAATGATTGGTTCATCGCCGATGGACAGAATTATTTTGGTTAGAGGACAAATTGGCCTAGGTGATAATATGTATATCATTTGTTAAAGGGTGTTATTATTTATCGCCCCTATTACTACGTACCGTCCTTTGGACAAGCAGCTTGAGAACGACCACTAGTCGAGAGGCGCGCCACTTCAGGGAGGGAGACGAGCAGCCGAGAACGACCACTAGTCGAAGCCCCGATTCCGCCAAGGAAGGCGAACCGATGAAGAGAAGGAGAGACGGCGTCGATGGATGAGGGAGATTAGGGCTTTGTCAATTTGAAAAAGGAAGTTATTTGAAGAAAAAAATAGTGAAAGAATTAATGATTATTGTTAAACCAAAATAATACTCAAAATTAACATATTTTAAAATATGATATTAAATTTGAAACTACATCATTATATTAAAAAGGTCTAACAATTAATCTTGTCTAACAGCTGCATTACCAGTAAAAATTCATGTCCATCTAAAATTGCAGCTCAATATTCCAAAAAATTTGTGTGTGCACACAAATGTAAAATTTTCATTCAAGCAAAAGATTCCAAAAGTTGTTAACCACCTAGCCTACACACCAATGATTATCACACTTAAATGCCATTGTGGTCCCCCAAAATTTCATCCTGCTTTGTGCCATACAGTCACGGGTACAAATGATAAGAATATGAACTTGGAATTTTTCCAGAATTCTTGTCACTTTTTTTTTCCCTCTTCCTCACTTGATCATCTTCGTCACAGCATCGCATTGAAGTTCCGTATATATTCGCTCATGAGATGACAAAATTGACTATCTCATCTCATATGTACATGTAAGATCAAGATTGCTATAGTGTTTTTCCATCCAATGGACTCTCGTGGGTTAGGTAGAAAGTCGATTGCAGCCAAGGATGATTTGCCTACGAGACCTCTCTTGCAATGAAAAATGCTCGATTCTCCTTGGCTACATTTGGCTTTCTACTGTCCATGCGAGTCTTGAGAGATCGATCGATCAATCAGATAAGCCTTTGCAGACATGGAGATTCTTACCAAAAATCTAACAGACATGGAAAGATGTCCGATGAAATTCGGGTTAAAACTTATAGCCTGTAATTGAAGATATAACGTAAACACAACGCAGGAGGAAAGCACGTCTTAACACAAGAATATCAAGCTGAGGAAGCCCTAGAATTGAGCATCAAATCTTCCAAATGTGACCTGCAAGTTCACATAAATTTAAGATGTATATATCGTTTTCTGTTGATAAATAAAATCTTACAAAAGAAAGACTTACAGTTCCACACGGTAATCGAGTAAATACACACACAAGCCTATTCTTGTGCAACTATCTGCTTAAAACATCCTCCCATAATTACGGTTAGCATACGGCTGCAAAACAAAAGGATCAGCACAAAAGTATATGGTCATGTAAACATGGAACTGTAAGCACAACCGACAACCTACTAACCGAGCCAATTAAAAATAACCATTTTTTTTATTATTTCATGATGCGCATCTTTATTTACTCGAGATCGCTGAAATCTATGATCCTCATAGGCATAAACTGTGATTATGATGGGATGCAGTCCAAAACATGCACAAGTGTAACAGAAATAAATTTGACAGAATGAATAGCTATAAGGAAAAGCATTTAGTACAATGGTGTGTCTCTTGCCGCCCATAAAAGCAAGTGGTCCAAAGCCATCCAACTTTGCCGACGGCCTGATGACATTGCACCATACATATGCTAATGATTGAACATAAAACAGAATTTCAGAATTCTTATCACCTTCTCCTCAGGCTCACTTTTGTCTGTTATGCAATTGAGTTGATTCCACATTCTCTGTCTCAAGATAACTTTTTCCACTTAAACAAAAAAAAAAAAAAAGATAATTTTACCATTATCTGGAATAATGGGAATATTTGCAATTCCAATACGACCATTCAGTGAACTTATATAAATGGGTGTGACCATACAGCAAACACAACTCAACACGGCATGTATATCCATTCAAGAGACTTACATGAATATGTAGAGAGTGGATCGCAGCCAAGGATGATTTGCCGGTAATCTCCTTCAAAGCCCAAAAATTCAAGGAAATAAGGGCACATCGGCAAATTGTCCATGGCTATGTTCGGCTCTCTAGTGTTCATGCGAGTCTCAGGAGGTCCCATCCAAGTGACTTCCATGAATATGTAGAGAGTCGACTGCAGCCAAGGATGATTTGCCGGTAACCTATTTCAAAGCCAATAAATGTCAACAAAGGAACATGGCTCATCGGCAAATTGTATTTGGCTACGGTTGGCTCTCTAGTGTTCATGAGAGTCTCAAGATGTCCCATCCGAGCGACTTCCATGGATATGTAGAGCCGACTGTAGGCAAGGATGATTTGCCGGTAACCTCTCTAAAATCCAATGGTTATCAAGAAAAAAATACATGGCTCATCAGCAAATTGTCTTTGGCTATGTTCGGCTCTCTAGTGTTAATGCCAGTCTCAAGAGGTCAATCACAGTATTATGGAATAATTGGTACAGTGTCCACTTCTAATAATAAGTTTGATGTGAGTATAGCAGCAAGCAAAAATATCTAAATTGCAATTACAATCGTGGGACTTCCATAGATAGGTAGGAAGAGGAAGTGCAGCCAAGGATGATTTGCCGGTAATATCTTGCAATAAGAATGGCTCATCAGCAAATTGTCCTTGGCTACATTTGGATCTCTATTGTCCATGTGGGTCTTAATGGATCAATCAAACAGGCCTTTCCGTAGATTCATCATCAGTGAACTACATAACCAAATAAGGTTAGCTCTTCATGTCTAGAAACCCTATTCTTGAATCTTGATCAACTTTTGTTTTTTGTCATAATATGCGACAACATAACCATTAGGTGAGCACATGCTATAACAAATACAAAATACGGTGAGAAGTAAATGAAAAAGGACTAAATACCTCAGACAACTCGAATTTTCTTAAATGATTGAGCTCAAACTCATCTGAATCACTTTTCAATAGGCATCATGAACCACCCAGAAGATTTCCATGGCAACGAAAAGTCCGTTCCCCAGCGGCTGTACCATATAAATAGTCACACAAAATAGGAGTATCATGAACAATTAAAAATGACACTATTCGAGAAAAACAATTGAACATCATCAACTGAATTGTGCCAACAAATTGACCACCATAGTACACCCGCTCCTGCATCGAACTTATTTTCAAATGTACAAAACAGCCAAGCGAAAACCTTTACCGAAGTACTAACAAGAACCACAATGTTAAAAAACCATTAATCTTATAAGCAAAACGCAACACCAGATACACAATAAGTTTGTCTCAATGGTCAAAACAACATAATTCCATTGAGCTACACACCAAGAGCTAAATTACCAAACAAGTTAATACCACAAAGGGATTTTCCACTTTTTTTCTTTCTTTTTTTTTTTTTT